TCGCCTCGCCATTCGCCATTTAAAACTATGACATAGAAGAAAAAAAGTGATAACCCATCTTTTTCGTATATCTTCTATTAAAATCAAGTACCTTATCTGTTTCAACCTGAGCAATCGGCTCATCAACTGCTACTCTATCCCCAGGTTCTGCACAAGCCAAGTAGTAATAAAGAGTAGGAACGGAACCTTTAGATTATAATTACTGAAGAGATGAAGGAGTTGATATTAGAGAAAAACATACTTTTCAGGAATGTAGCCAACGTGCCATCAGTTATAGATTCACCCATAAAAGGGACAACAGCTTCAACAATGTCACCTGCCATGCATCAGTAGTGGGAGAAATGTCACAAGAAAAGACCACATGTTATAGGGTGCCGTAAAGCCCAAAAACACAAAAGAAAACTATTTGCAGCAAACAATATATTGCTCGTAGATTTACACATGCACCATTGACCAAGCAGAAAAGTCACCTCAAACCCGTGAACAAGAAATTTCAGTTAGATACTTTAAATGTTTATACCAACCCAGATAACTTTTTAAGGGCTAACAAACCACAGAGTATCTCCTCTAGTGTATGCAAAGGAAAGAAAAAAGGTAGATAATGAATTCCCAAACTATATTAGACAGAGGGGTCATGGATCTAACTCTTTTGCATATAGAAGATCAATCTCATTTATCCTATCTAACGAATGTCACAAGTTCAATTTGCTCGGGCTTGCAGCTGTGGAGACCCAAATTGCAATTGTAAAAAGAACAACGATATAACCAGTTTGAATAACTTCAGTCTATCCACCAAATATTATTATTATCATACCAGAATCAGAACTGAATGGCCTGCTCCAAATTTGCAAGTTTACATCTTGTTGAACAGGGTGTACAAACTTCCTGCAAATATTACAAAAGTTGCAGGTTGATAAATTTTCCTAACAAGTCGGCACAAAATGTGCCCCCCAAAGCCATCTAATAAGAAGTCATGTAGTTTTAATTTTGTGTTTATTTCTTCTGTGACCGTCAGCCAAAGCAGATACAATAAGTAAATCCGGATTTATCTTTTTGTTTTAAAAAACAAAATACAAGAGGAAGACAATGCAGCCACCTGGCATCCTTCGCAATATGATCATTAACTTGGGTATGTCTAACTATATATAGTTTAGTAACCCTTTGCACTGAATCATATATGTGCATAGATATGCCAATAAATTCCAACATCCAATTATTGCCATCACAGGCCAATAAAAGAAACAGAATTGAGACAATCAGTAAGGCAAAGTTTAAATTTAGCAATACTCTAGCTGTCCCAGCTCTCAAATCACTCAAACAAATCTCATCATTTGAAAACCCAAAGACGAAGAACGGCTTTGTGAGTCATACGGTAAGTACCCATAAATGGTTTGTAAACATATTGATAGTTCATCACTGACCTCTTTGGCATCAGAGACATTGTTCGTCCTGTGAGAAAGTAAAAGATAATGCCATATAATCAATCATGTAAACAAGGAAGCTCAGTCTATATAATAATAAATCAAGTATCCATACCAGTCATGGCAGAAAAAGACCGAGCATTGCCAAGACCCCTTGTGAAAGGTATGATCTGCACATAATCCCAAATCATAAGTCAAAAATACATGAAGACATCCAACACTAACTTCATGATTGATTTCCAAACTACATTTAACCATACAGCTCTCACACCGTGCAATCAAATGCCTCACTCAAATACAAAAGCATTACAATCAAGTATCCTATTTATGACCGGAAAACCGAAACAAAAAGTTAACTCAAACAAACAAGAAAAATAAGAGGTACACATAGATTTCTCTTAGATTGCAGCTGAAACCTACAACAAAAATTTTAAAGTCTACGATACCTCTTCTGCAGCAGCTGCGCATGTTCGTGGCGTAGATACTGTTGGTTTGGGCTTTGACAACGATTTCTTGTAAACCTAATTGACAGCAGAACCATAACTGAGTCTCGATGCACATGGCACATAAAGTTTGCACTACACGCCATTACACACACAACAATGTTACAGAAGTGGAACAAAAAAAGAACAGAGGAAACAACCGTTGCAGACGAGGAGGCGCTTGAAGCCGCTTTCCGCCTTATAACACCCAACATCACGCCGGTGAATTTTGATCACTGCAAAACAGACAAATAAGCGAAGGAATAAGTTACAAACAAGCAATCTTAACACTGAAAATGATGGAATGAAATTAAACGAACAATCACTGGGGCAGATCTCAGAAGAAAAATATTATTACAGTAAATGCAAAAGGAAAGGCGGGATCGAGAAGATGGAGAAGCTAATCTGACCTGTGACTAAATTGGTAGGGTTTCGGAGAAGAAAAGTCTGAATGGAAGGTAAAATATCGAAATTCAATTTTAAAGAATATTTTGGAAAAATATTCGTCTTTTCTGAGTGGTGTGATGTGATTGACAGTGAAATGGAGGCTGGAGCGTGACCCTCACAAGGTATGATGTTAAATTTACTGATGAATTATAATTTAACCAAATGACTATTTATTTACAATAATGTCACTTATTAGACATTTGAAATAATTATATATAAGTGATTTTCTAATTCACACTAGAGTAAAAGGAACTGCGACTCCCATCGACACAACCCCCGATACTCTAAACCCAATTAGTGCAACATTTGATCCAGGAGTTGATCCTCCGATCAGTTTTAATGCGGAATTTTCAGTACTCTCAGCGAATTCTCTCTCGGCCTCAAAGCATTCTAGGGTTAGTAAGCGACAAGGAGAACCTTTGCAGAACCATACGGCGTTAATCAATAAACCGACTACTCTGCCGCTTGTGGCAGAGGGCGCGCCGCCACCGCGGTGGTCCTTCCGGGATATGGTCAATCGACACAGAAACCACGTGGACATGACCCCTGATGATGGAAAGAAGGACGGGGAGGACGAGGAGATCGTTGTGGATTTTTCTCGACCGACGCCAGAAATTCGAATAGCCAATAGCTTCATTGATCAAGTCCAGAAGGAGTGGCAGAACGTGGTTGTCATCAAGCCGTTTGACGAGTCGATCACAATGTCGTCGCTCTATAATCGCTTAACCAAGATGTGGCCGTCCATGTCCGGATGTAACAGATGAACCTTGAAAACGGGTATTTTCTTATCCATTTTCTCACCCAAGATGATGCGAAACAAGCACTTACGGGAGGACCGTACGTAGTAGGGAGTGGCTACCTGCACGTACAGCCGTGGACTATTGACTTTGACGCGACCAAAGCAGCGATTACTAACACGGTTGCGTGGATCAGATTATCGGGCATGCCTGCCCACCTTTACCATAAGAAGATATTCAGCAAAATAGGAAGGATTGTGGGGCAGGTAGTAAAAATTGATCAACAGACGGCGGCACGCACTCGGGGCAAATTTGCTAGGCTTGCAGTCTTGGTGGATATTTCGAAGCCGCTTTGTGCAAGCTTCTTTGTTAATGGGAAGACTCAATGAGTAGAGTACGAGAACCTTCCCATCATTTGTTTCCAATGTGGTAGAGTGGGACACTCGAGCATCTCATGCCCCCACCATGCACCTCCCAGCAAAGATGTTGAGACTACGACTACTGTTCATGCTACTCGTGAAGGGCCCTCTAAGGCCAGCGGTGGAG